ACGTTAGATAAACATATATTGCATAATGCCTGAGAAAAATGATGAAAATTCTTGAAAAGAAAATAGATGTTTGTATTCTTGGATAGAAATGAGCTTTTACAAAAAGCTTCTAAGTGTGATTGATCAAAATTAATTTTCACTAGGCTGTTGAATTGAATTATTATTGTTTGTCGCCTGTTGTGCTTCTTGTTCAAGCAAAGTTTGTCTTTCGAGTTCTTGTCGCAATATTTCGGCTGCTCGAAGAGCTGTTTCTCTATCACCTTCGTCAGCAGCAGTAAGCATGTTATTCGCTATTTCTTCCATGTTTGTGTTATTGTTGGCCATTTTCGACGAGCTAAAAGAAGTGAAGTTGTAATAAATAGAAAATTTGTTCTAAACTAGACTTCATTTTCTGACAAATCAGGTTAGGAATAATATGAAAATCTTTCAAATTAAAATAAAACAATTACTTGTTAAAATATCTCTTCAAATATAAAACCTACTTATAATCGTCGACAATAGTTTTATGTGCAAGTTAATATGGAGAAATATTTAGCTATGCAACCAGATTCGAACTTATTTTATTTGATTGGAATCTTTATATAATATATTATACGATTTCATTGAAGCTACACTTTATTTATATACATATTAGGCGCCTATCGGAAACAGCTATGTTGGAAAGAACGAGATGCTTTAGTTATTGGCGTAATAACTGACGATTATTGAATGAAACTTGGAACCTTCCAAGATATTAATTTCAGAAGTGCCTTTCTGCGAAACGATACACTTCCGCAAAAAACCAAACAATAGTACAGACAAGTAAATTCAGTGGTTTTCATGATAAAAATGTGCTTGTACATGTCTGACATAATGACTCATGAATATGATGAAGACCCATAATACGAGAACTGAGAAAAAATGGTCCTTTTCAGGGCTCAAAGTACACATATCGGCATTATGTTAGAATAAGCATCTAATCTTCGTTGTACGGAATTAGTAAGACTTCCAATATTAACCCATCGTATTATTTAGCTAATACTAGATTTTTTAATGTACGAATTTCTGTTACATCAGTTATTATTTGCTTTCATTCCATCGTACACCCGTTTGAAACGAGCAAGAATCTGTATTAGTTGTCTATCAAAATATTTCGTAATGCTTCATAGCGGTTAATTTAATATATGACTTTAGAAACAGAATAGTATTGATTTTATAACAATTTTCTTTAGACGTTACAGAGCAATAAAAAACGATTAAAGATATAAATTCAAACGGAGAATTCTTCCTATCGATCAAAAATAATGTTTCATTGTCTGTAAATGTTCATGAAATTTAAAAAATATATGCAATAAGTGTTGAGTTTTAATTTAATCTTAGATGATATCAATCTATGAAAAAACAAGTGTTTAAAAGTAAAGAAAATATTGAGATATTTTGCGGTTTTGATCAAGCTACTCGACATGTCTAACTGATCAAAACAAGATAAATCATTTTTTCACTGAGATAATTTCAAGAACTAGTGATTACAAATTCTTTTAATTCTATACTAAATATCCAAAGAACCTTTATTTGAAATCACAGCACATACTACTGACCGATAAAATGTCTTAGAAATTTCGTTATTTACTCGAATTTGTATGATGTATCATTTAAGCATTGTTCAGTCTTGGTGTCTTGCATCAAAAACCGGAGAAAGTTCATCAATAGGTCACATATTTGTATAGAATTGTTTTAAAAAGTAAATGAAAAAAATCGAACTTCGTCAAACACTTTCCAACTTATCCTTTAACATATGTGTATACAACACCGCTGCTCCGACTCCACATAGCTGCTGGAAAGTATAATGATTGCATGAGAAAAAGAATGAAGCCAGTGAAAAGGGTCCCCAAATAAATATTTATTCTTCAGCTCGTCGTAACCAATGAGAAATTAAAAGTCTGTGTCCTTATCCATGTCATACGTTTGTTACAGCTACTGTCTGTGTGCATGGCAGTCGTAAGAACGAACGAGTTTTTGCAATAGCGGCAAATACTACCAATATAACGCGCATTTTACCGAATGGTCTGCGCACGGTTTTTCTTCGGTTCAAATCACATGGATAAATATACAACAAGTTGAATGTGACAACTGACAGCAAAAATATGTATGAATAGTTTTTTTTGTTAGATAAAGATCAAAACAACGAAGAATATTACTTGCAATTGATTATTATATTTAGTTAGTATTTGAACTTTTTAATATAAATATATGGAAATATTTGTCTCATGTGTATCAGTTTTTCATATGTGACACTGAAATATCTACAAATACAACATTCTTAAACTGTTTCCATTGATAAAAAGAGATAGCAAATATATTATTGAGACAAGATAAGAGACGGCAATCAGATAGCAACTTTGCTGAATCAGTTTTAAACAAAATTCACGCAACACTATTAAAAACTTGATCTGTATTATATTTTTTCGTATGTAATAGCAATAACCATTGACTAACCATAAATATTACTCCGAGACATTTAACTGTTTCATTTTTGAAAATTATTCAGTATTTGTGTGAANAACCGATTATTTCGTTACTAAAGATCGATAAAATTGATCAAATAGCAGTAACAAATCAAATGGATTAGAAAAATAAATCTGCAAATCAGAGAAAAAAACCAGCTGACAAAATCGAAATACAATTAGATTGGAACGGGACTGATTTATTCGATTTTTAACAACAGAATAAGAGATTTTATTCTAATTTTAAATTCTTTTACACAGCATTTATATTATCTTCATCGAGAAGCTCACGCTCACCCTCATTCTCATTCTCATTTTCAACATTATGTTAACTCTTCCACTCTAATTGATACATGCCTTGATTAATTTTGGTGATCAAAACACTAATTGTTTGCTGATCATTTCGCAGTCAAAAAATTTGGTAATCAAAACTCAACTTTTTGGTGATCAAAAAAATGCTGACCCACAATTTTATATCCATTTGTATTACGAGATATATCACGATCATTTTCAGCAAAAGAACGAACAAAGCAGTTTGTTCATCAAGATTCGGTACCAAGTCTTACTTCAAAGGAAACAATCAGCTATGTGAATAAACACAAAATTATATTAAACTAGAAGAATGTATGTTGAGTAGTTCTGTACGTTAATCTAATGAATTCTGCAATATGGAGAGTTTTGAAACAACGGCTGAGCAAAAAAAAAATTAAATCTCTTGACGAACTGAAAATAATGCTTTGGAACGTGTGAAGAAAAATGAAGAAAATTTATAATGATAAAATATTCACTTCCTGATCCAAAAGAATTTTTTTATGATATTCAAAGTTCAAGGCTTTCATAAAGAACATCGTTTGAAATTTAAAATTTAATTTTTTTTAATAGAAAAAAATATAATTATCAAAAATAACGTAATCAACCTGTAATATAATGTCAAGGTATATTCAAAAAAACATACATATATATTAGCCGCATCGATGAAGAGAATGACCTCACACGAAGCTATTACGTCAGTTACTATATTAAAAGTTTCGAAAAAGGCACCTTCATTAATATACAAACGGCTATTCATATATAATTGACCGAAGATGTAAATACTCTAGAAAACATGTATGTCCGAGACGATTCCATACAACTATCCATGACATCAACGATTAAAACAAGAATCAAGACAATGTCAAACAAATTCACTTAACATTTTAACACAAACAAGAGTATGAGTGTTGTGTATATGAAGAAATATCAACACTTACACTTTTTATGACCAACTGGTATGTATCAGACATTTGTTGTCTCTATAAAATGTGTATTTTTTATTCTCTTTATGTATTGTTCAAAATTTTATGATATTCTTTGTTCGTCTTCTGCTGTATTCTTCATAATATTATCAATAATACTTACCATTTCCTTTAGAATATGAATCTCATAAGCAATTGCTAACTAATCTAAGATTTTGTGAATGAAGATTTACATATAAATTTGAAACTCTCAACTATGATGTACAAAACAACAAAACGAATGATTATATATCATTAGATTATTCAGAAAAAAAAAATCATATAGAAATTATAGATTGAAAATTTTCTATTTTCCATAGTTTCAATTGCCATTACGAAGTAAAAAAAAAAAAAAGAAATAAACGTAACTAAGGTTCATTATTATTAATTTGACTTTCGTACATTTCGTAAAAAAAAAAGAAAAAAATTAGAACATTTTCATACAATTAAACTTTACGATCAAATTTTTTGCTGAACAATATAAGAACTATATACACAATAATGACAATGAAAAACGAACATAAATAACAAATTAATGCACTATACATTTGTCGACGAGCTCTTGTTGTTGATGTACTTATGGTTGGATAAAGCATTCCAAAATAAGTTGCAGGTGGTTGATAAGTATTTTCAATAATTGATGATGAAAGTGATTCAAGTGAAACAGCTAAATGACTATCAATTTGACTTGATGCATCTGACTAAAAATTAAATTTATTAGGTTTTTTTTTTTTTTTTTTTTTTCTTAATTTTCTTTTTACTTACATATTCTTTATCTTGCCAAACTTTTCGACATATGGGACAATCTAATTTTTTCATTGTAAACCATTGCATTATACATTCATTACAAAATTCATATCGATGATCACAATTAATTATTGGTATATCAACTGATTTTTTTTCCAAACAAATACAACATATTTTATTACCATTTTGTTGATTAAGTGATGTTAACGAAACCGTCCCATTCATTCTTTAACATCAAAATAAAAATGATGCTCGAATCGCTCGTTTGCTTAGTTGGACTGACCTTTTTCCATTTTTCTCTCATTCCTTATATTCATGTCGCTCAGCTGATAATGTTAATAGAGAAAAAAAAAGGAGTGTCTCGACGTGGTGGCCGATGCTTTTTCTTCATCAAAAAGAGAACGATGAAGTTCATGCATATATATTTATATATGTGTGTGCGTATATACAAAATATTCATTGAAAGAATAAAAAAAATAGAAGGACAAAAGTTTGATCATAAACCATGCGGAGCGATTGGTTCATATACCTGTAGAGTATACATATTTTCCCAAACATGTGAAAGGCATACAGATGCGTGAAAGCGAAAAAAAATTTGAAGTGGTGTAGAAATAGCAGCAATTATTGACCATGGTATAATATGATAGAACGCTAATTGAAATGGATTAGCTTCGTGTTTTGTAGTTGTTGTCGTTTCTTCGAACCATAAACTTAGATCTAACATTATTAATAATGTAATAACTTCACGTGCTGGATATTCATGTTTACTATTTGGTATAAGACGTTTACGCAAAGCAATAAGTATAAAAAAAGCATGAATAGTACCTTCAATAAATTCTAAAAAAAAAAAACGATGTTAACTTAATTAATTTGAATTATTATTCTATACCTAAAATAACAATAACTATTTTGACATAAGCAATCCATGTTGCTGGATTTTTATTAATAAGCAAAGCAAAAGCACTAAATATTGAATATAAATAAATGCCTGCTAATGATACAATAATCAAAACATTATCAAAGCCTATAACAAAAAAAAACAAAAAAATAATTTAAACTTATATTTTCGTTAAATAGATTTCATCATTCTTTTTTTGTTTACGTGTAGTTATTCTTCTATATTGTAATTTACGAATTTTTATTAATGCCCATATTGTAGCAAATAAAGAAATAATTAATAAACATAAATTAACAATTTCAACAATAGCAATACTATAGAGAATTTTTTTTGGTGTTTTTGATATTGAAGTAAATGGACCATGAGTCGAAACAATAAGTAATGAACGATTTTGATAAGATATAGTTGATGTATGAAGAATATTGAATGACATTGATATAGAATTTATATTATCATTGATTTTATTTTGCAAAATAGCATAAAGAATTATTGATATGACTGTACATGAGAATATGATCATACCAGCAAATAAACCTTTTATTGATGCATGACAATTAACCATAAAAACATTTTTACTTGAAGCTTTATTAGACATTTTATAAGCAAATGTTTTGCCAATATTTTCCCATATGAGAAAAAATAACTAAATAGATAATGATGTTTTTTTTTTTTTGTTAAAAAAACAATTTTATTATTATAAATCTTACTGTTAAACACATAAGACTAAATTCAATTGTACATGGATATAAAAGTGGTTTTAATTTTATATAACCTTCATTGATAAAAGTAGTTATTTGAAGAGTATTTACCATAGATTGTGTACAATGAAATCGATTCATTAGACTTAGACGTGTTTTTATTGAGTTGCTATTATTAATACTGACATTATAAGGATGTCCTATGGTCATTTCATAAGCACGCATTTCAAGTATTTGAGATTTTGTTTCATTAACAACCATACGAAACCTAGAAATTTTTCTTAGAATTGATTTTATTCAACGTTATGCTCTATTAACTAGGGAACTGCAAAATCACTTTTTTTAGTCCCGGTCCCGGTCTTTGACATTAGCTTCATTCCTAAAATCGAACAATTTTTTTTACGATCTATGTACTTTTACAAATACATCAAATTGACATGAATGGTTTTGATTCGTTAACAGTACGAGAATTCTTTTATATCTCCAGTGTTAAAGTGAAAGAATTTCATTGAAAACTCGAATAAATAAAAATAACCATTGAATTTTGTTAAAAATTCTCATGTACTTCGTAGTAGGCATTTACTCATTTCTCTCTTCTTTTATATCTACTGTTCTATCTAATGGATTTATTATCGAATTGATTATTTATACAGAATCGCCGTTACTATTGTCAAAAAAATAAGATAAATGGCGACACATTGCATAAAAGACTGACCGGGACCACTTTGCAGTTCCCTACTATTAACGAAGAAGAAAGCTTCTGTACAAAATGTATTAAAAGTACGCAAAATAAGTGAATATTTAATAGAAGGATTATAGATCGAAAGATGGTATTGACATATTTCTTCAAATTTTGGTATTATTATTCACAATTATAGATTGTCCTAACTAATGGTTATAAATGAAAGGATAGCAAGAGTCAATGGATTTAATACTCGAAACATCAGTATTAGCATTTATATAAAAGCCTTTAGTTTTTATAAAAGTATAATATAATATTACTTTACGTTATCCATCATAATAGATTCGAAGTTATCGCAATGTTTGTTGAGTTGCGATTGAAAATTTCAACATTATGACACTATGATTATTGGTATTCGACTTCAGGATTACCTATCGTAAAGCCCCTCAAGTTCAAAATGTTCGGACGAGAACCCGACAAGTTCTAACCTGTCATGACATCAAGAGTAAAAGCCTTATGAATATATTGAGCAATTAGGATCAATCCATTACATACCATACACATAAATTAGTCACAACAACATGCATTACAGCTAATCGAGCAAAATTTTCATGTGCTCGAATGACTAACTAAATAAAAAGACGATATAAATTTTTATATAAAAATTTCTCGATAATTTATTATAAATAATTACATACATTTGAATGTTTAAAAATAAAGAAAAATTGAATAAAACTAAATAATAATCTTGAAAAATCATCCATAACAGCTGTCCATGGTGTACATGAAAGATTTTCAAGATAACTTAATATTGATAAACCTGAATGTATTACTGTACCAAAACAAAAAACTAAATAATTATGAAAAAAAAAAAAAAAAAAACAATTCATACAACTATGAATAATTGCTTCTCGCTTACTTCCGATTCCGACACGAATATAAAGACCACCAGCTGTTGAATAATCATCATAATTATATCCAATAACTCTTTGAAAAATAGGATTTTTTCGATGATGTGCATCATTTTTTAATGTATGATCTATAGTTTCTCGTCTCATAAAAAATGCTAAATTATCTGATGATTTAGATTTATTAAAATGAGATGTTGAAGAATATTTCAAATTTTGATTTTTTCGAAATATATTCATTTGTATATTATTTGAATCTAACCTATTAATTCTTGATGAATGAATATTTAATTTTCGTTTATGTCTAATAATATCAGCAATACAAAATATAATCCAAATTATTGATAACCAATAAAGATATGTAAAATAAATCTATGAAAACAAAAACAAATGATAAAAAAATTTTAAGTTTTTTATTTTTATTACTGCTGCTAAATCTTTTATATTTTCTCCTTGTTCATGTGGTATAATAGCACGAGAGATTGAAAAAGCTACACCACCAATAAAAACAACTAGAAAAATAAACGACAAAAAGAAATTCGTTTTGAACATTGAACTTAACTAGATTTTATTTTTCTTTTTTATTGTTTTCACATCGAAAATAGTTTTCTTTAATTACTTACCTAAACCATAAAGAATACTGAAGATTTTGTAAGCATTTGCCTTTTCATCAATGTTCCTTTAAAAAACAAATAATGATTGAAAACATCGTTGAAACCAACACAAATGATTCATCACTTTTGGCTTTATACTTTACCCGTAAGTTGAGTACCTGTAGACTATGAAAAGCCTAAGAGGATATGGATTCATGTTGCGATCTAAAATTATTGAGTCCCAATTTTTCAGCAAAAGTATCTCAGACGTAGCATTGCTGATATATGAAGATTTTCTGAGATACTTTCGCTGGAGAATCTGGATTCGATAAGGAAATCTCAGATCGTAAAATGAATCCATATTCTATTAGACTTTTTCTTTTATCCACAGTGCTTCTATTTACGGGCTAAGCATGAAATCAAAAGCTACGAATCACTTTGAGCGATTCCTTCGTTAGACGATTCTATTTGTTTATATACAGACAATACTAATTTGCAAAATTTCTTCTGTTCATTCGATCATATGTGAAAAAATTGTAACTTTTTACTATAAAAACTGATGTGTATAAAGATTCGATTGATAATTACCCTTCTTGTGAAAATGCATTTAGCCAACTTCTTCGACGTAATAATGGTTTAAAATTACATTTATTTGATTTTGCTAATGAATGATGATGAGACTTTAATACTAAATTTGTTTTCATTACTGCTAATTGAGATTGTTTTTTTTTTCTTTGGAAATTAAATATTAAACTCTATGATATTTAAATGATATCTGAGATTTCATTTAGCTAAAAAAAAAAATCGTTTCTTACTATGATAGAAGACTTTAGAATTGAAGCTAAATTTATATCACATTCATTTACAATGTCTATATTGTTAAACCGAATATAAATAGAATAAATTCTCTATAGATTTATCTTGTATTTTATATGTAAATGATTTTTCCTTCTTTTTTCTCTTTCACAATATGTGAGATGACTTCATAAATCAATCTATTTCATCGTTTCTCGATTATATATAATTGAATGCAATGACTATAACTATGATCATGTAAGAACAAAACAAATGCTCATTGCTCTATATACACAATTTATCATTTGACAAATAATAAATATTTATCTAAGTAAAAAAAACAAAACATGATTTAAATAATAATTCATCATTGTACCATATAGATTTTATTAAAATGTATGCACATTTGTACACACGTATATGAAGAAAAGACGTATTCAATTAAAATATATTTGTTAGTTTTATAGTCCAGATAAAGTAACTGGTTTTTCACTACCATAATTCATTGAATCAGTTCGATACATAGCTGAAGTAGCATGAGCTGATGTTGAACTTGGCATTGGTTGAACAAATGGAATATCTATTGGACAATATTTCGTATCTTTAGCATTGACATGACTTGGAGTAACAAATTGTTCACCTTACGAAATATAAATATATATTTATATATAAATAAATAAAGAATAAAATGAATACATACGAGTTTCTGTTGTAAGACCTGAATGAGGAATAAAACGTGCTGGTTGATGAACTTGTCGAATTTTTGTAGGTGTTGAAAACCATATAGGATCACGCATTGGTAATTGTTCACGTTCAACACTATTTATAGGTAATGGATTTGCTGCATTACCATGACCCCATGCTTTAGGATATTCTTCAGCATCCCAATAAGATAATGGATCTTTTTTACCAATACCTTGCCATTCATCTCTAGAGAATTTTTTTTTTTTTTTTTCGTATAAATTAATTTTCTATCTTATGAAGACATACTTTCTCCATCGACGATGTTCTTTATTATATGTTGTTAAATAAGGATCAAGAAGTGTATAAACACCTTGTTCTGATGGATCCCATGTACGAGCAACAGTTGCTGGTCTTACTTGTCGTTCATCTTCACGTAGAGCCTAAATAAAATTTATTTAATTCTTTTTAATTATTGGAAAAAAAGAAAAACATTTACTTTAGTCACAGGTGCTTCGAATTGTGTTAAATAAGGTAATTGTCCATCAATACGATCAAATTCTGCTTTCATATTTTGTTTCATATCATATTCTTCTTTATATTCACTTTTTTGATGAGACATTGATAATGGACGACTCCAATCACGTGCTTTAAGTTTTTCAACAAAATCACTCATATAATTTACTTAACAAAAAATTTCATATGTTATACTAGACACAAAAAAACAAAATAAAAACTATCAATTGTATACCTTTCCATAAGGCTGGTGCTTTTTTATGCATATTTACTTGATCATTATATATTTCTTGTTGAGGATATTTATTATCAAAAAAAGCAGCATTTGTTGTTTTAAAATGTTCTTGTGGTGTAATTTCATCCGGAGCACGTAATCGATTTGGTAATGGATCAGTAAAAACCCGCTAATAATATAAAATAATCAAGATTAACACAATATAAAGTAGATAAATAATAAATAAAAAAACCTTAAAATTTGATGATGGAAAATAATATCCTGGTCGATATTGATGACCAACACCAGTACTTGTTTGAAAAAGATCTTGTCGACGTTCAGCAGAATTTGAATCAAGCATTTTTTTTTTTTTCTTGTAGTTGATAAGAAAATAAAATCTACAAACAACAACTATTCAAACTACTTTTCATTGTCAACTATCATTAAATTTTGTTACTAAGCAATTTCATTTCTTCGGTTTTTATCTATTGTCGCTAGTTGACAGCAAACAATAATTCCTAGATTTGATTGGAGTCTATTATCCAATAATATAAAGAAAAAACTAAATTTTAAAACACAATACAACGTCATCAATTCATTTACTTTCATAATTTCACAATGATGTTTTCAAGTGATGGATTTCTTGCTGATAATGCTTCATCTACAAATACAACTCAAACACATGTATTTACATCTTTTCCTAATTCAGCTGTAGATCCTGATGATGAACGTTCAGGAAATAAAACAACGAATTCATCGGATTCAAATCAACATACACTTCCATTACCAGCTACTGCAAATGGAACAACATCCGAACAATATCATATGTGGCAAATTGAATATTATCAAAACTATTTTCAAGTAGATACACGACAAGTAATTGAACGTTTAATTGGTTCAATGACACCACGACCAAATAAATCTTATTTTGATTCAACTATTAGACAAAATCCAGATTTATATGGGCCATTTTGGGTTTGTGTAACTTTTATACTAACTGTTGCAATTAGTGGAAATATAGTAGATTATTTTCATAAATCTACTACTGAATTTCAAGTTGATTTTTCAAAAATTACTCTATCAGCACTTGTAAGTAAAAAAAACAAACGGATTTCTAAATATAATTTTCTTTAATGAATAGCTTGTTTTACTTTATTGGTGGTTAATGCCAACAGCTATTTATTTTTTCTTTCGTTGGCGTTTAAATCGTATTGAATATACATTTCTTGAATTACTTTGTATTTATGGTTATAGTTTAACCATATTTATACCAATATCAGTTTTATGGATAATACCAATTAATTGGTTACAATGGATATCAACAATAATTGCATCAATTATAAGTGGTAGTGTTTTAATTGTTACATTTTGGCCAACAATTAATTCTGATCACAAACGTTTTAGTGCTTTATCAATGCTAATGGTTCTTTTCGTACATTTATTAATGGCACTTTGTATTATGCTAGTTTTTTTTCATGTATCTGATAATAATATTAAATCAACAACAGAAACAACGACAGTTTTTACCACAGTTTTATCATCGACAACAAAACGACAGTAAATCATTTTTTTTTCTGAAACATTCCTATTTATATCATGGTGGTTTTTTTTCTTGTTTTAATAAATAAAAATTATAATAAAACATATATATATGCTTTTTTTGTTTTGCTTAAATATTATAATTGAATTTTTATATATTTTAGATAGAAATTAGTTTGATTGAAATCTTATTGTCGGATAAAGTCATTGTAATACACAATAGGTAATAACGTAGACGTTCACTGGATTTGAATAATATCTAATATTTTAAGAGAAAAATAAGGCTATATTTGGAATGAATAACAAACATGGATTGAATAGCCAATGAAGTTCTCTATTAAATGCATACGAAATTGAAATTTCATAAATGAACTATGAGAAGAAAATTATGTGAGATTTAGTTTTTTAAGATTATTCTCTTATAGAGCAGAAAATTTGAAATAAAATGAAGTGTCTAAGACTTTCCTTAGGAAGTTAAAAGCATAGAAAAAGATGCGTTTTTTTTTCATTGTTTGTAATTTATTTTAGATAAGATTTTTTTTAAAGAAAAACTATGCCGCCTAAAAAGAAAGAAGAAGCTAAACCGAAACCACTTATTGGTCGTGTTGGTACGAGTCTTAAAATGGGTATTGTTGGTTTACCTAATGCTGGGTTTGTTTAATAATCTTTATCAAATAATAATTATGATTAATTTTATTTATTTGATAGAAAATCAACATTTTTTAATATTCTCACTAAATCTAGTGTACCTGCAGAAAATTTTCCTTTTTGCACGATCAATCCAAATGAAAGTAATATATTAATTTTAAAAATAATCGATTATTTAATATATTTCATCTTATTTAGGTCGAGTACCGGTACCAGATGCACGATTCGATTTTTTATGTCAACATTATGAACCATTAAGGTATATTATTTATAAAATAAATCAATCAGATTTATCTTACTATTCTTTTGTTTTTATTTAGCAAACAACCAGCATTTCTAAATGTGAATGAATAATAATAATAATTGGCTTTTTGATAATTTTATTTATCTGATTAATTTAGGTTGTTGATATTGCTGGCCTTGTAAAAGGTGCAAGTGAAGGTCAAGGTAAGAAATAATATTTATTGTTCAGTTTTTAGATAGGATTTATAATAGGCCTTGGTAATGCTTTTTTATCCCATATAAAAGCATGTGATGGTATATTTCATATGGTTCGACTTTTTGATGAAGTTGATATAGCTCATGTTGAAGGAAATATTGATCCTATTCGTGATATTGAAATTATTCATGATGAATTAAGGTTAATAAAAATTTTTCAAAAAAAAAATATTTTTCTCAGAATTAAATATTTAATTTAAGATTAAAAGATCTTGAATTAACAAAAAAAATTGTCGATGATTTAGAAAAAAAATTTGTACGTGGAAATGATAAATCATTAAAAATTGATAATGTATGTATGATTAAATTTTTTTCTAAACTAGGACGGACGATAGTTTGTAGAAAAATCGGTTCAATTGAACTACGAATGTATTTATAATTTTTCGAAAAAAAAAAGCTGTGAATATGTTTGAAATCAAGAAAGTTTTATTTCGCTGGTATTCAGTAATTCTGATTGTATAATCAACTTTTTCAATCAAAAAATAAAATAATATATTCGAAATCAACATGAAAAATGATATCGATTTATGTATACTTCAAACATTTGTGATGAGTTTTATTTTGGGTCAAAATCGAAATCTTGAACGCCATGAGAACTGTCCTAAGAAATAAGTTGAAAAATAAAAGTCATTAAAAATGTTTGAAATATATATAGATCGACGCTATTGTTTATACTGATATCGAATATGTTATTTGTTTTGAGTGAAAAAATAATCATTACGTCCGAAATTGCTGAACATCGGCCAACAAACCCCCTGTCCGAGAAAATGTTCTTCACTATAAACATGTTCGTAGCTTGTTTTTTTTTGGACAAATTCTGAATACATTTGTAACTCAATTGGATCGATTTTCCTACGAACTATTACTCATCCTTTATTTTTTCTTAACTTATCTTTTATGAAAAAAAGGAAACAATACATAAAGTTTTAAATATATTAACTGAAGAAAAAGGTAGTGTTCGTTTTTGTGATTGGCATGAAAGAGAAATTGAAGTTTTAAATAAACATTTATTTAATACATCAAAACCAATGGTTTATTTATTAAATATGTCTGAAGAAGATTATATTAAGAAAAAAAATAAATGGTTAGGACGAGTTAAACAATGGATTGATGAACATGATCCAGGTGCGACAGTTATACCATTTAGTGCTAATTATGAATATCGTCTTGTTGATTTACCTGATGAAGAACGTGAAAAAGTTATTAAAGAAACAGGAGCAACAAGGTAAATAATATTATATTTAAATAAATTTTTGTTTATTTAAAATATTTAAGTGCATTGGAAAAAATTATTCTTGCTGGTTATCGTGCATTACAATTATGTTATTTTTTTACTTGTGGTAAAGATGAAGTTAAAGCATGGACTATTCAAGTTGGTACTAAAGCACCACATGCAGCTGGACGTATACATACTGATTTTGAAAAAGGTTTTATTATGGCTGAAGTTATGAAATATGATGATTTTAAAGAATTCGGAAATGAAAATACTGTTAAAGTAATAAAAGAAAATTTTTATAGAATAATTTTGAAAAAAACACATATATATATTATTCTATTTCTAGGCAGAAGGAAAATATCGACAACAAGGAAAAAATTATACTGTTGAAGATGGAGATATTATCTATTTCAAAGTTAATGCAGGCGCTGGTTTAAGTGCATCAAAAAAATAGGCGCCATTGTTTATTTAGTTTTCTTTTGATTTGTTGCAGATTTTTTTTTGTCTAAATAAACTTGATCAATTTGACACTCTTTTCAGATATGTCGTGGAATCCCGAAGGTTTTTTCAATCCTTCTTCATTTAATCAACAATATACTGGTCCAACGTCCTACGAACTTCAACAACAACAACAACAACAGCAGCAGCAACAGCAACAACGTTATGCTCATCCTCAACAAAATCTTCCTTATCCAAGCGGTAATTTTATGCCATCACAATATAATATAAATCCACAAGGAAATCCAGCTCAATTTTATCGACCCGATGATTATCATCCACCATCAACAAATCCAGAAAATACTGATGTTGAAGAAATACCTTTACTCGAAGAATTAGGCATTAATTTCGATCATATATTTAAAAAAACAAAATCTGTTTTAAATCCATTTTCAACACCAGATTCATCCATACTTGATGATGTTGATTTAGCTGGTCCACTTGTATTTTGTCTTACATTTGCTTGTAGTCTTTTATTATTAGGTAAAATACATTTTGGTTATGTTTATGGTATTGTTACATTAGGTACTGTTGGAATGTATGGTTTATTAAATATGATGACATCACCAGATAAACCATGTTCAGGTTTATTTGTAACAAGTGTTCTTGGTTATTGTCTATTACCAATGGTTATTCTATCATTTTCATCATTTTTATTTAACTTAAATGGTTTAATTGGTTTACTAGTTGCATCAATATTTATTTTATGGTGTTCATTATCAGCTTCGAAACTTTTTGCAACATCATTAGCAATGATAGGACAACAAATTCTTGTCGCATATCCTTGTGCTTTATTTTATGGAATTTTTGCTTTATTAACAATCTTTTGAAAGAAAAAAAAAATAAAATAAAGATATTGTTTTTCTGTTCTATGATATAATCAAGTAAATAAATTCTAAAAAAAAAAACAAGAAAACATTCACAAGTATTCGAATCCTTTTGAGCAAGTACACATGAAAATGTGGAGGTACATAGAAAAATAAAGGTTTACAAAGGCATTTCTTTTGACGAAAAAAAAAATCATTTTTTATTGTAAAATATTTGAAAGTAATTCAACAGACAAAATGTTTCTCTTATTTATATATACAAGAAAGAAACCATATGCAACAATTACGATATCTGCAGAGGGAAAAAAATATGGTTCAGTATCAGTTGAGTTAGTTAGGGTTAAACACGAATCGTAGAAAGTAATGAACAATGTTTAGAGGGATAGTTCAAAATTGAAAAGATCGAAAGATTATTCTCAAGGCATAACCTTAAATCTTTTCGACTAAAATTTCATAAATTTGATGAGAAAAAAAAAACTAAATATTGTTTAAAAACAAATCATATTATTGTTTCCAAAGCGGTGTTTTGATATTTTTCAATTGTGTTATTATTTGTCTCAGTATAATTGTGCAATAGTAGAAGTATTTCTCACTGATGAAACTATTTGGACAAGTAATCTATTTTGTCAATTTCAAAACGTCTTAATATTCACATAAATCTAGTCGATGTTTAAATACTAACTCATAATCTGATATTTCTTTTTATTCAAACCGTCTTTTGTCTCATCGAAGCTAAGAAAATATTAGTCAAACATATCTGAAATATCATGTCTCAGATAAAATATTCCTAGGTCACTTTTCAGTAGTAAGTATTTTTTTTTCGATACGTTTTCAGAATCATTTGTAGAGCAAAAAGATTCATATCAAAATATATTAAGATTTGTGCGATCGACTAGTAAAATCATATATTTCAGAATGGCAGTGAAATTTCTTATTGTTTTTTTTTAATAGTTACACTTAAATATTCATATAATTTGTCATATTAAACAGTTATTATTGAAAATTAACTAATTGCAATCTGTTTTCTATAAATAATCTAATTTATTAGATTAAAGGGTTACATTAAAAAAAAAACAAATTTAGATAGACTAGGCAATCTGTCAATTTTTAGCTGACGTCTAGTCTGCCATAGGCAGGCAGACAGGTCATATGGTCTGCTTGAGCTCTGTTAATCATCACATTTTAATTGTATAGAACGATCAATAGAAGATGAAATATCAGTGAAAATAAATTCAAGGTCATATAATAAAATGTTTCTTTTTACGTCAAAATCAAATATTGAGAAATTTAGTATAAGAGTTTAATTTTTCTTATATAAATCTCGACAGTCCATTAAGTTATGACAGTAATAAATGATTTTATTTCTATTTAGACAGTCTCATTGGTGAACATATTAGTAAGTTTTTCTTTGTAAAATAGAGCATTTTTTTCTGTATCTACCTAAGAATTAAATAGGTAATCTAACAGAATGATCTTATCTAAACACACGAGAATAAAATTTCATAATATGTATAATCGATATCATGCGTTTGCTGACAACCAATATAACGTTTCATTTTCTAACAAAAAGTCATCTCAAACGGCAAATTTTTGTGAAGTTAGTTTTATTTTAAACTTCGAGAGAATTAAAATGAAGAGAGCACGAATAGTTAACAATCATTCTTTTCGAACAATTGCTATTATAAACGATGAATGAGAATAACAATCAAATAATCAATGGATCGGATTCATTGAAAACATATTGATATCTGTAAATGAAATCCTTCTTTTAATTAATATCATAATAGCTACTTTACAGTTTAGTTTTCGCTTCGATGATCCAACTGATTGAAATATAAATTGTTCGATTTACTTTTAGAAAAATAATTCTAATTCTACTAAAGCGTAGATAGGTTTTTGAAAGAAAAATGTTTCGTATTCAAGCGTAGAGACGTTTAATCGTTAAACGCAAAATGTCCTCTAGTTATTTCTTAGCTTGAAAAAAAACGAAGTCAAGAAAACATGGTCCTTTTTAGATGAGTTTCTGTAAAAAAATAAGATGTGTGATTGAATATTGGAAAAAAAATGAAATCGATTCAATCATGAAATTTTACTGTTGCGTTTACACTATGACGCGAACTGAGTTTATATCACCATGTATCAGGTTCGTTCCACTCTACAGAAGATCTTGTCATTGATACAAAAATGTGCTTACATGTAAAGACATAGCGCAAAATGATTACGTGAAAGTTCAAACTGATTTCGAATATTTTATATGATTAATCGAAAAAAATTGAAAAATTCAATGGTACATAGGATAAAGAAGACTAAAATATTTGATGTAATCTCAAATATTTCAAAGAATTATACACGAAACTTTTATATTCAAATGAACGAGTCTGAATAGCTCGATGCAAAGTACTTTACCTTCTATTCTCTAAGAGGCATTGTACCTAAGCCACGACCAACGTTGCGCAATCAATGTTACTGATTTGACTAATATTTTTACAGTAAGTATATCTAACAAAGTTAGGAAGAAAGTCAAAATTTCAGCTCCAACGAATACGCCATTCTGGAGATAGAGACGTTGTAAGTATGAGGGAGTTGGCTATATTTGGAGCACTTTCCAATAAATTTTCATTTTCTAAATAATAATAAGAGTTATAATAGAGATTTTTTTTACCATAAATACTATCGATTATGGGCTATCTTTTGATGGTAATAAAAATACCTCATTGCTGGATAATTGTTGTTTGGCATCATATACCATTTTCAGAAAACACGCTCACATAGATAAGGTAAGTTAGTCGGATCAGCGCGATGGGTTTGCTCGAGAATAGTCTCATTTGAAAGAGCACATCAAAATGCGTCGAATTAAGTTCTCAAAAGTTTGTGATATTGAATTTTAGTATAGAAAATTTTTTCAACAATATCCTGCATTTTATGAAAAATCTTTGTCTAGAAAAAAAAAGGATTGCACTTGATATTTTTTTATATATCATTACTATAAATTGTCACTTTTAGAAAAGTAATTATATATTTTGATAGCATGTGAAACTCTCTACAACTCTACAAATAAACATCTGGGATTACATTTTATTCGCTGAAGAAAGTTCAAGTGCACAAAAGACACCTTTATCGNACAAGAATTAGGAACCGCAAGTCGTTCAAGTAGTATCGAAAAGAATTATGAATTACCTGATGGTCAAATCATAACTATTGGTAATGAACGTTTTCGATGTCCTGAAGCACTATTTGCACCAGCTACCGTGGGTCGAGAAGAGCACGGCATAGCTGAAATGGTTTATAGTACAATTATGAAATGTGATATTGATATTCGAAAAGAATTATATGCAAATACCATTCTTTCTGGAGGTGAGTAATATAATATGATTATTAGATAATGGAACTTATATTCTCCGTTATTTTTTTTATAGGAACAACCATGTTTCCAGGTATTGCCGATCGAATGCAAAAGGAAATAACAGCATTAGCTCCATCAGCAATGAAAATTCGAGTTGTTGCACCTCCGGAACGAAAGTATGCAGTGTGGATTGGTGGTTCAATTCTTAGTTCATTATCAACGTTTCAAGCAATGTGGATTTCGAAACAAGAATATGATGAATCAGGCCCATCGATTGTACATCGAAAATGTTTTTGAACAAAAAAAAACAGTGGAATATATATATTTTTTTTAATGTGGATAACTATTTCTTTTTGGATTGTGTAATAAAATTTTTTGACTGATATAAATTACATTATGCTAAGTTTTATTTTACAACAGTGCTTTTGAGTGATTTGTAATTGAAAAGCAATATCTATATATATAGAATTTGATGCTATTTCTAATCCATTGATTTTGATGGTTTAAAGAAAATTTTTAATATCTTGTTTTTCATATTGAAAATCGAAATATGGTTAATTTTGAAATAGATAAACAAGTTATGATAATTCTTTTTTTTTAATTTCCTAATTGAACATATTAGAATATTATCTTTTCTTAAGATTCAGGAATCATTCTTTATCTAAATGAAGCTGGTTTTTTAGGTTTAAAAGTTAAGCAATTAATGTAAAGACATTTTGTTATATATGTTTGCATTCAAACTCATATAGAACGTGTTTCATATCGGATTGAGCGGAAATAACCAAAACATATTTTTCGTCAATGATCAATTCGAATTTTTTAAAATGAACTGACCAGTAGGGAACAATGGCATTTCAATTAATACAATCATTATTGGATCAATAAGATTTGAGTCTACGAAGTTATGGACAGTTTTCTATAAAAGCAGTTTTTCGTACATAAATTTCGCAAATTGCAACTTCTTACTATTCCACACAGCTAAAGCTTTTCGTGTTACTGTTGATTTGACGAATTTTCTGTATTAATAATTTCATCTAGTGACGGTGAACTAAAATTTTCACTTTTATGATGATGCGTTTTGACTAATCCATTATGTTATTCGAAATCGAAGGTTTTGTTTATCATATACCGAAGAGAGAAAATTGCCTTTATTTAATATGATTCCTTTCGCCAAGCATGATTTCCTTTTTTGGTATGCTTCACTATACCTACTACCTGGATTCAAAAGTAAATTGCACAATTTCATTTCGAATGACACAATTACCTTATATGGTCATACGAAACCAACCAAACCATATATAGTTAGTATAGTGTATTTTCATCTACACTATATAAACGGTACGAATTTTAAAAATGAAAATCAGTATACAATCACAAACAAATTCAACAACATAATTCCATTGTAAAAAAAAAATGCCAGCCAACACCGATGATGATTTATGTCCAGTTGTTATCGATAATGGATCCGGTATGGTTAAAGCAGGTTTTGCTGGTGAGGATGCACCACGTGCTGTCTTTCCAGCAGCAGTTGGTCGACCACATTATACTGTGATTATGCCCGGAATGGGTAATAAAGATTCCTATATTGGAGATGAAGCTTTAGCAAAAAAAGGTGTTTTAACAATTCGTTATCCAATTGAACATGGTATTGTTACTAATTGGGATGATATGGAAAAAATTTGGCATCACACTTTCTATAATGAACTTCGTGTTGCACCAGAAGAACATCCTGTTTTACTTACCGAAGCACCATTAAATCCGAAAGCTAATCGTGAAAAAATGACACAAATTCTTTTTGAACAATTTAATACACCTGGTAAAAGAAAATTTTTCTTTATTTTCACAAGAAGGTATATATTATGTTTTATTTAGCTATGTATGTTGCAATTCAAGCTGTTCTTTCACTTTATGCCAGTGGTCGAACAACAGGAATTGTTTTGGATAGTGGTGATGGAGTATCTCATACAGTACCAATCTATGAAGGTTATGCTTTACCACATGCAATAACTCGTCTTGATTTAGCTGGACGAGATTTAACTGATTGGATGGTTCGTTTATTAACAGAACGTGGTTATTCATTTACATCGACAGCTGAACGTGAAATTGTTCGAGATATTAAAGAAAAACTTGGTTATGTTGCATTAGATTTTGAACAAGAATTAGGAACCGCAAGTCGTTCAAGTAGTATCGAAAAGAATTATGAATTACCTGATGGTCAAATCATAACTATTGGTAATGAACGTTTTCGATGTCCTGAAGCACTATTTGCACCGGCTACCGTGGGTCGAGAAGACTCTGGTATAGCTGAAATGGTTTATAATACAATTATGAAATGTGATATTGATATTCGAAAAGAATTATATGCAAATACCATTCTTTCTGGAGGTAAGTTGATTATTTATTAATATAAATTTCACTTGAGTTTTTCTATTATATGAAGGAACAACTATGTTTCCTGGTATTGCTGATCGAATGCAAAAAGAAATAACATCATTAGCTCCATCAGCAATGAAAATTCGAGTTGTTGCACCTCCGGAAAGAAAATATGCAGTGTGGATTGGTGGTTCTATTCTTAGTTCATTATCAACATTTCAAACAATGTGGATTTCGAAACAAGAATATGATGAATCTGGTCCATCGATTGTACATCGAAAATGTTTTTGAAAAAATAAATATATATTATATAAATAATAAAATTCTTTTTTTTAATTTTCAAAATAAAGTTTTTGAAACACCCAAATCTTGTTTTTTTTTTAATACGTTAATTACTCCATCCGTGTAGTCAGAGATTTATTGTCAGTTCTGTCACAGTTCATACAATATATTTTATCTAAGAAATTGCTAAGTTTCGAGGAAGTTACAAAAAAAATTCTTATGAAGCATGTCATAGAAGGTGAAACGAGATGTATTTTAATTATCTTGACAGAAATGTAAAGTAAGTCTCTTATTTCTGAGAGATCGTTATTGTACTATCTTACACTAAGCATTTATTATAGAATCCGATAAACGTTCATGTAATTTGAACTAATCATTGTTCACTTTTTTAAAATGTTTTCAAGAATTTGTCCAAATTTCTACCAAGTTAATTTTTCTAAACTGCGCATAACTCGCTAAGGAGAAGAATCCTAACTGGATGATATTTATGGAATAAGAAAAATATTTACATTTCATTCAATATTCATTGACTTATATGTATTCTATTATCAGTTTGGCTTAATAGAAAGCTCTCACTGTTTTGTCTTACTGAAAAACTACGTGTGGCTCGAATAGTAAATCATTTTCTTTTTTTAGAAGATGTTGAAAAAGTCGTTATTTCAATATCATAGGTTTCTTCATTATAATATATTAACGAGAAAACCACACTGCAAAATGAGAAGTAAGAATGACGATCTTTCTTATGAAATGAAAAAAGTAGATAAATGATACAAAACTTTATTTATTCAATCATAGTTTTGTTGTCACTATCTTTGAAAATTATAGTGACAACTGTCGTATTGCATTCACATGTTTCAACGTGTTGTTTTATAAATGCATTTCAATGACACACTTTAAATACAAAAAGAAAGACTAGTCAAACAAACAACAGAACAACAACAAAAAAAAAAATTCTTGCATAGCAATACTAACAGAATTCTCACCTTGATTGGTTGCAACAGCAACTAATCAACAAAATATCTTAAATCAACTTCGGATTGAAATATTATCAACCTAATTTTTTATAAAAACATCAATGAAATTATAAAAGTAAATAAAATGTCACGCAACTGTATGAAAGATTTAAATCCAATTGTCGTTGATAATGGCTCAGGTACAATTAAAGCCGGTTTTGCTGGAGATGGTCAACCTAGCACAATTTTTCCCACTATTATTGGCCGTCTATGTCACTCTACAATGGTACCTGAAATCAGTCACAAAGATCAATATATTGGAGACGAAGCAATAAAAACTAAAGAAATTTTATCTATTCATCATCCAATTGAACATGGTATTATTACAAATTGGGATGATATGGAAAAAATTTGGCATCATACTTTTTATAATGAACTTCATATTCTACCTGAACAACATCCAGTTTTGTTTAGTGAAGCACCACTAAATCCTAAAGCTAATCGTGAAAAAATGGCACAAATTCTTTTTGAAAATTTTAACATACCTGGTAATAGTTTTTCTTTATTCAAAAACATACTGTACTTACATAGACATGAGTGAAACCATCTTGCTCCTATATAATACTCTAACTCTATTTTTGTTTAGCTATGTATGTGGCAATGCAGTCTGTTCTTTCATTTTATGCAAGTGGTAGAATAGCTGGTCTTGTTCTTGAAATTGGTGATGGTGTTTCACATACAGTACCCATTTATCAAGGTTTACATTTGTTTTCTATTCTTATTGCTCATTAACGAGTTGACTTATAGGTTATGCTTTGTCACATGCAACAAATCGTCTTGATTTAGCTGGACGTGATTTAACTGATTTCATGATTCGATTATTAGCTGAACGTGGTTATGCATTAACAACGACAGCTGAACGTGAAATTGTTCGAGATATGAAAGAAAAATTGGCTTATGTTGCATTAGATTTTGAACAAGAATTAACAACTGTAAATTGTTCGAATAACATAGACAAGAATTATGAATTACCTGATGGTCAAAGAATAACTATTGGTAATGAACGTTTTCGTTGTTCGGAAGTTCTTTTTAAACCGACAATGATTGGTCAACGAGAACTAGGCATTGCTGAAATGGTTTATGATACAATTATGAAATGTGATATTGATGTACGAGATCGATTGTATCGTAGGATACTTTTATCAGGAGGTGAATTGGAATGATATATTTACAAATCGTGGATAAAAACTGATTATTTATAGGAACAACTTTCATACCGGGTTTGACGAATCGATTACATAAAGAGATGATAGCATTAGCTCCACAAGCAGCAAAGATTCGTATTATTGCCGAATCAGAAAGACAATATGCAGTATGGCTTGGTGGTTCAATTCTTAGTTCATTATCATCATTTCAAAAAATGTGGATAACAAAACAAGATTATAATGAATTTGGTCCATCGATTGTACATCGAAAATCTATGTGATAATAAGAAAATTTCTTGTATTTAATTATTTTTTTAAAATATTTTAATAAACTTTTATATGACATGAAAAAGTTTGTTCTGTTCTCATTGAGACGTTGTCTATAGATAGATCTGGTGATCATTGAGCGATGGTGAAAATATCACCTCGAAAGACTGTGCTATTCTTCAGATATTGAATATTAATTTTTGGATGACAATTGTTACGATTATTTATCGACTACACGACATATCAATAGATAAAATTTTCGTTTATTATATTGTAATTGGATTTTTATTAAATATGTCTTGTTACTAGGGAACTGCGAAGTGGTCCCGGTCCCGGTCCCGCCGGGACCAGGACCGGGACCGGGACCAAAATTTGACTTTTTACGGGACCGGGACTAAAAATTTATCACATTGGTCCTGGTCAGTTTTTATGCAATATATTTTCACGTTTATTATTTTGACATGATTTAAGATTTGTAAATCAGATATTTTTATTTGCTATTTCTATAAAAGTCTTTACTGATTACGAGTCTGTTGGCAAGAATCTGAGTTTTCCAATTGCACAGGTTTTTGAATACATATAAAACAACCAACACAACACTATATACGTAAGTTTAATTTGTTCATTCTTTGATGATTTTTTTATTGAAGTCTTATCAGATAATAGTAAATAGATATGTATCGCCGTTTATTTTTNATCAGTGAAAATACAACAAACTTCATCATGTTATATAAAATATTTATTGAAATATAAAAAAAAATAATTATATTGAAAGCATTTTTCTATTATCAAATACATTTTCGATGTTCCGAAGCTCTTTTTAAACCATCGATGATTGGTCAACGAGAATTAGGAATTGCTGAACTACTTTATGATACAATTATGAAATGTGAAATCGATTTACGATCAATTTTTTATTCGAATTCTCTTTTATCCGGAGGTACGTTAATTTTAATATTTATAAGAACTTATTTACAATTGAATATTTGAAGGAACAACTTTGTTTTCGGGATTCGCTGATCGAATGAAAAAAGAAATGACAGTACTCGCTCCACCAAATGCAAGAATTCGTATTGTTGCTGCACCTGAAAGACAGCTGAGTGCATGGATTGGCGGTTCTATTCTTAGTTCATTATCAACATTTCAAACAATGTGGATAACAAAACAAGACTATAATGAATTTGGTCCATCAATTGTACATCGAAAATGTATTTGATAATAGAAAAATGCTTTCAATATAATTATTTTTTTTTATATTTCAATAAATATTTTATATAACATGATGAAGTTTGTTGTATTTTCACTGATGAGAATAAGAAAGACGTACTTTGACCCTGTATTGTAAAATATTATACAGTACAGAAAGACTTTCCTTGTGGCTCACGAAGAAACACATGCAATTGTTAATCACTAATCGAACTGATATTTTCTCCATAGGTAAGATTCGGAGGATGAATTGGAATGTGTTTCTTAATAGTTTATTTTATATAATTTTGTAGTCGTTTAAAAATGCTTTCAAACATTATGAAAACTAATAGTTCAATCAATCATCAGTTTGGTAGATAAAACGAGATGGTTATCATCAATTGATTGTAGAATATAATGTGTATACGATTGCCATTGATTATTTCAAGTGGTTAAGACGCAACAGAAATAAATGCTTTAGAGTCAATTCTACCAGGAATCATTTTGAGACACTTTAAGTGAAAACTTGACATGACAGAAACTATATTTCTTTAGGAAGTCGATTTCATAGGTTGCCCATTGTCCTTGTTTTAGTCTAAAAGAACGTTGCATTCTTGAGATATTGAATGTTGAAAGTACTCAATTTTCTGATTTTTTGTTATGGTAGTTGCTCATTATTCAAATATCCAATATCTAAAGAAAAGCATATTCTTCTAGCATGGGAATTTTTACAACTATCTATCGATAAAATTTCATGTCAATATTTTTGTAATTCGACTTGAAAAGTCTCGTAAGCATAACTTTATCAAAATATTGCAAGAAGGCATTAGATTGATCCAAGATTTCGTTGATTCACGATTTATCTACAATCAAGTTTAAAATCATAGTAGTAAATTTGTTCTCGTATTGTCGACCCTCTTTTTGCTGGTTGTTAAACAGTAAATTTTAATGGTTAAGTTTTAACCAACAGAAAAGAATGACCAAGTGAGCCGAAATACCTTATATCGTCATACCAATAGGAAATTTACCTTGATTGGTTAAAAACATATCCATTCATCCATATGTCAAAATGAAATAAGTCTCTATAATTAAAGTAATTCTAAAATAATTGCATTTTGCAACTGAATGTCATTCAATACTGAAGATGAATTATATCCCATTATCATTGATAATGGTTCTGGCACAATCAAAGCCGGTTTTTCTGTTGACGAAAAACCTCGAGTAGTTTTTCCTACTGTAATCGGCCGTTTACATCAAGCGAAAAGTCTACCTCAAACAAATAATAAAGATCAATATATTGGAGATGAAGCAATAAAAACTAAAGAAATTTTATATATTAATTATCCTATTGAAAACGGTATTATTACAAATTGGGATGATATGGAAAAAATTTGGCATCATACATTTTACAATCAACTTCGTGTTTCACCAGAAGAACATTCAGTTTTGCTCAGTGAAACACCATTAAATCCTAAAGCTAATCGTGAAAAAATGACAAAAATTCTTTTCGAACAATTTAATATACCTGGTTAAAAGATATAACTTCTTATATTTTCAATTAAATTGAACTTTATTTTTTCGTCATATTTAGCTATGTATGTAGCAAATCAGAGTGTTCTTTCATTTTATTCTTTGGGTAAAACAGCTGGTGTTATTCTTGAATGTGGTGATGATGTTTCACATACTGTACCAATCAATGAAGGTAAACATTGACCTTTTATCTTGATTGAATTTATTGAAATCTATAGGGTATCCTATATCACATGCAATTAATCGTCTTGATATAGCTGGACGTGATTTAACTAATTTCATGATTCGATTATTAGCCGAACGTGGTTATTCATTTACAACGATGGCTGAACGTGAAATTGTTCGAGATATTAAAGAAAAACTTGGTTATGTTGCATTAGATTTTGAACAAGAATTAACAACTACAAGTCGTTTGAATAATATCGAGAATTATAAATTACCAGATGGTCAAATCATAACTATTGGTAATGAACGTTTTCGATGTCCTGAAGCACTTTTTGTACCAGTTACAATGGATCGCGATGAACCTGGTATTACTGAAACTGTTTATAATACAATTATGAAATGTGATATTGATATTCGAAAAGAATTATATGTGAATATTATCCTTTCAGGAGGTGAGTTATAATTAAACTATGATCATTGAAATAATGCAATTCATGTTCTACCTCGTGCCTTTTGTTTTTATCACAGGAACAACGATGCTTCGGGGTATTGTTGATCGAATGCAATATGAAATGACAATATTAGCTCCATCAACAATGAAAACTCGTATTGTTGCACCTCATGAAAGAGAATATTCAGTATGGATTGGTGGTTCAATTCTTAGTTCATTATCAACATTTCAAACAATGTGGATAACAAAACAAGAATATAATGAATTTGGTCCATCAATTGTATATCGAAAATACTTTTAACAATGAATTTTTTTTTTTTTGTATATATGGATATTATTGTTATATTGTATTAAAAACGATTTGATTATTTAAAGTTTTTATTTTCATATTTTATACATTGTTAAATTGTGTTATCTTTCAGTTGTATTTAAAAAGAAAGTGTTTTCTATATCTGTTATAGTGCTTTATTAATTTTTTTGTCTCACCAAGTCCTTGATTATGTCTAGTGATAAATCGATCTAAATATGTTCGATGTTCTTTATTAACACAGTACAAAAGTTTTTATTGTAAGAGGTATTGAAAATCTCGTTTTCTCTCATTTTTTTGTCTTCCAGATGAGAATCTTAAAATAAAATGTTGAATCTATCCTAGAATAAAAATATTTCGCCGCCTATGTCTCCAGATGTCAGTCGAAGACAAATTGATCGATAAAAAAAGCGACAATAATGATTTTGTATTTGTCGAATTCCATTACTTGTTTATTTTTATGCGTACGTACGTCAGGTAGACTCCTCACAATTAGACACACCAAACCAAAAGGTCGTAGTAAGTGATTAAAAAAAAAAATTATACATACATGGCAAATCAATCATTTAATGAGAAACGTGTAAATATATTTTTACTAAAAAAAGAAAAAAGCCGAATAAAAAAGAAATTATATTAATAGAATGATGCTCCTTCAACTCGTCCTGCATCTTTAGGTGGTACAAATGCTGATAATCAAACACGTAAACGTTTATTTTCTAAAGAACGTAACTATCATTAGACTCTTGTCTTTCTTAAATTCACGTACTATTATTCAGTTCGTAATATGATGTATGGTTTCGGTGATGATCCACAACCATATGCTGAATCCGTCGAATTACTTGAAGATCTTGTTCTACAATATATAACTGACATGGTAAAAATAGTTTTTTTTTTTTTTGTATTTTGTAAAGATATTTATTTTTCAATTTTAGACATTAAAAGCAGCTGAAATCGGCAGTAATAAACAAGGTCGTATTGTAGTCAATGATATTCTATATTTACTTCGACATGATCCAAGAAAATATGCACGTGTTAAAGAACTTTTGTCAATGAATGAAGAATTGAAAAGAGCTCGAAAAGCATTTGATGAACCATCGAAGGGTCTTGAATAATTTATAAATAACTTTTTCTTTTTTTCAGATTTAATATGAATTTATATATTTATTTATTAATATTTCTAAATTTCTTTGTTATTAATGTTCATTCATTAATAGATGGCCTTTATTGTGGTAAAGAAAATTGTTATGATTTATTAAATGTAACACGAGCAGCTAATAAACAAGAAATTGTTAAAGCTTATCGAAATTTAGCTAGAAAATATCATCCTGATGTAGCAAAAACATCTAAAGATAAAGAAATATATACAGAAAAATTTCGAACATTTGCTAATGCTTATGAAATTTTAAGAGATGAAGAAACTAGAGCTGATTATGATCGAATGTTAGATAATCCAGATCAGTAAGTTATTCATTATCTTAACATTAATCTTCGAGTATGTTTTTTTTTTTGTAAAGATTTTATACACATTATTATCGTTATTATCGACATCGATATGCACCAAAAGTTGATGTTCGTATTGTTTTAATTATTCTCATATCCGTTATTAGTGCAATTCAATATTACAGGTTTATTTAGAAGATTTTATTTGTAAAAAACAAAATTTTGTTTGTTTGTTTTATCTAGTCAATATAGTAATTATTATACAGCAATTAATTATCTTGTGACAGTACCAAAATATCGTATACAAGCACAAGAAATTGCTAAACAAGAAGGTTTATTAGGAAGTAACAGTAATGAATCATCGAAGAAAAATCGTGGACGAAAAACAATGAGTAAACAAGAAGAAGAAACTATTTTAAAACGAATTGTTGAACAAAAACTTGATATTAAAGGTGGCTATAAGAAACCTAGTAAGTTATGATTATTTTACTATAATAAAATAGGATTTGATATAAAAAAAACGTTAATATTTAGTAATTAAAATACTTGATAAAATCTTGTTTTTGGTTTTTTTCTCTTAGGCATCACACGTGTACTTTGGCTTCAATTAGTGCTTTTTCCATATTATTTATATTTAAAATTACAATGGCATATTCGATGGTTTTATAAATTTAATATAAATAAACATGAATTAGGTGAAGATGAAAAACTCTATTTAATTTGTCGAAATTTAAAAGTTAATCGTGAACAATATGAATCTTTTTCTGAAAAAGAACAAAATGAAATTTGGGAAAGACAAATATGGATAAAAGAAAATTGTGTTCAATGGAAAGCTGAAAGAGAAGAAGAGCAAAAGAAAAAACTAAGTGAATCTGGTCGTTATAAAGCTTATCGTCGTTATATCAAAAGTGGTGGACCTGGACAAATAACATTTGATGCTGATTAATTATTCTTTCAGTTTTTTTTTTTTGTTTTACAGTCAGATTTGTTTTTTCTTCAATTAATTCTTTTAATATATAAACAAAAAAAATGAAAAGAAAAGGAAATGTATATATAATTTACAGTCGGTAAATAGATGATCATATATCTAAACACTACACAGAAAAAAATGAAGAAAAACTGCGATCGCGCTCACTGTATAACGACTTATTATCTACACAAAAAAAAAAAGAAAGAAAGATTAATTACTACTAATAGTGACCGTTTGTTTAATATCATTGTCAGTTGTTATTGTATTTATATTTCGTTTTAATGATGTGATTTGTCGATCAGCACCATATGCAACAGACATATTTGTTTCTAAATTAAGTGATTTTTTTACTTGACATCGACTAAGTATATCATTTAAACGAGTATCTTCACTTGAAATAACATGACTAAATAGTAAAACAAAAGAATTTTTTTTATTAGAAAAAATTTTTTTTTAACATAATAAATATTTACTCTCGTTTTAAATGTTGTCGCATTAACATACGAGATTTACAACCAACTGAACAAAAACAACATACATATGTATCAAAATCTTGATGATAAACCATATGTGATGTTAATTTATCTTTACGAAAAAAAAATCGACCACAAATATTGCAACCATAACGAACTTGTCTATCATGTATTGATGTTTTATGACGAATCATTGTATGAACACTACTAAATACTTTATTACCTAAATATTATATATTCTTTTGTTTAAATAAATAAATACAAAAGAATATTCTTACATATTGGACATGCTGCTTTTGTATCAAGTCGAGCAGTGACTCCTTCGTCCTAAGAACAAAAGAAAAAGAAACAACAAAAAAAGCATAACGATAATAAATAGTATTTCTTGCCTACCAATTCATCTTGAAAAGGATCAAATAATGGTGAAACAGCAGGCGATGGTTGAGAATCAGAACTCTCCGGTGCCTATTAAGAAAAGAACAACATTTAATATTTTTCTTTAATGAATTCAATAAACTTTTTGAACTCAAATATTATTTATATAACTCATTGAATATGCGCTAATCTTAAATGTCTTCTTAAGATTATATGTCATGTATTTTTACAATGTTAAAAACTTCTTGAGAGTATAGATATGAATAAGATTGTGAAAAGATTATCTATATCCACATCCGTATATAAAATAACTATGGGTGGTGTAAATACTGATAATGAGTCACCAGTACAGAATTTGTTGAGGCACTGATTACATTGGCATACATGTATCCTGTAACATTGAGACATCAACTCTATTGAAATATGTGTCCTTTTGTGAAACATGATCTAAGAGACGCAATGAAGTTTATAGAGTAGAAATTCACATCACCTACCCCTCGGGGACCGTGACAGAAGTTGCTGATATACGATCATGGACTGTTTATCAATAGCGTCTTGTTTTAATATATGAACTACTAATTACATTTCTGGAAGATTAAGTAAAAGGATGATGAAGAACGTATCTCAAAATAGATAAAATAAAACAATCTTTATATGATAAGAAACAGCAATTATAGCGTGTTTCGCATATTAATCCTGCGGGGATTGCACTAGCAACAATATATTTTAGTACTTCAACGAATATTGCTGTCTGTATGCACTAATTATAATGACGAGGGAAATCTTCCAACAGTTCAATTACTTTTGAGTTGAGACTATGTGCATTACATAGATTCAAATGAGCTATGAATACTTGAAAAAAGAATGCATGTCCTTAGTTTATTGTTATGGTAATATTGTATTTTTATGATATTTTTTTAAATGTCATAATCCAGAAACATCGATTTTCGAATTTAGATCTAAAAAAATTTCACATAGAGACAAATCTTAACGAGAATTATGTTTTGTGAATATTTCAGATCATATCACTATTAAAAATCCTAAGATACAACTATGGTAATATTATGTCTTTTGCATCATTTATATAAACCATCATATTTGATATATTCTTGTTTTAGGTAGGATAGAGAGTAAATCAAAAGATCTGACACTTGTCTTGTTAAAACTTATCTCTATTTTTTGAAGTATTTTCGTAGAAATAATCTAAGAATATGTATGTTTTTTCAGATTATTCATAGTTCATTTGAATCTACATAATGCACATAGTCTCGATTCAAAAGTAATTGAAGAATTTCCCTTGTGAGTCGATTAAGTGAAAGTATATATATCTAAAAATAACTATCGTGATTATTGTTTAATAAACATTTCATGACTCAACAAAAATTTTCATACTTTGATAAATAGAATCGATTGCATAAAAAATAAATACGAAAATCTCGAATTTAAATCCGAGTGTTATGTGTACTTCAAAAAGTGAAGAGGTATATTCACTTTGTTTTTTATCAACTGAGACATATCTAGGCAATTTGCTTTTTGCATGCAGCTTTTCTGCATTTTGAGACC